GTATGGAAATTAGAGCGCGGGGGGAGGGGCACGGCCCCGTTTTCTTGTGGTTTCACCCCAAAATTGAAATCCCGGTAAAAAGAGGGAGAGAGGTGGGGTGAAGGAGGAGAAAAGGAAAAAAAATGGAATAAAATTAGGGGGAAATGGGGAAAAATGAAATAAATGGAGGAAAAATCAAAGAAATTGAATTAAAATTTAAAAATTAAAAAGAAAAAAAACAAACAAACAAAAAAACCCCCAAAAATAAACCCCAAAACCAAACAAAAAAAAAATCAGTAAAATAAATTTAAAACCCAAAATAAAAACAAAAAAAATTAAAGAAAGAAAAATTAAAATTAAAAAAATTAAAATAAAAAAAAATCAAATTAAATTAAACAAAATAAAATTTAAAAAACAAAATTTAAAAAAATGAAAGTGAAACAAAACTAAAATAAAATTAAAATACAATTTAACAAAATAAATTTAAACAAAATAAAATTAGAAAACCGAAATGAAATGAAACAAAAAATTAAAATCAAAAAACAAAACAAAACAACACCAAACAAAAAAAAACCAAACCAAACAAACAAAAAAAAACCCAAAAACAAAATAAGCAAAAAAAAAATCACAAATTTTAAAATAAACCTTTAAAACCTCAAAGAAAAACCCCCGAAAAAACAAAAAAAAACCCAAAAAAAATTCCAAAAAAAATTTAAAAAAATCCCAAAAAACCCCCCAAAAGCCCGGGCCGCCCCGCTCAGGAGCCCAGCTCCAGCGCGCGCAGCTCCTCCTCCAGCGCGCTCCTCCGCCGCAGCTTCTGCAGCTGCTCGGGGCTGGGCCGGGCCAGGGCCCCCCGCTCCAGCCGCAGCCGCAGCTCCTCCACCTGCCGCAGCTTCTTGCGCAGGCTCTTCATGCGCCGCCCGCGCTGCTCGCTGCCCGCGCCGGGCCCCGGCCCGGCCCCGGGGGCGTCCCCCCACCCCGGCCCCGGGGGCGTCCCCCGACCCATCCCCCGGCCCAGCCCCCGGAACATCCCCCGGAACATCCCCGGAATTCTGCCCCAAACCGCCCCCCCTGTCACTGCCCGGGTTGTTCCCGCCGTTGCTCCCCGAACTCTTCTCGGGATTTTCCCCCGAATTATTCTGATTTCCTGAATTATTCTTATTATTTCCCGAATTATTCTTATTATTTTCCGAATTATTCTTATTATTTCCCGAATTATTCTTATTATTTCCCAAATTATTCTTATTATTTTCCGAATTATTCTTATTATTATTCCCCAAATTCTTATTATTACTCCCCGAATTATTCTTATTATCCCCTGAATTATTCTTATTATTATTCCCCAAACTATTCTTATTATTCCCCGGATTATTATTCCCCGAGTTATTGTTATTATTCCCCAAATTATTATTGTTATTCCCCAAATTCTTATTGTTACTCCCCAAATTCTTATTGTTACTCCCCGAATTATTCTTCCCCGAATTATTATTCCCTAAACTACCTCCTAAATTGCTGCCCAAATTATCAGTACTCCCCGAATTATTCCCGTTTTTAACCCCGGGATTCCCTGAATTCTTGGTGGGATTTTTCTCGGAATTCGCCGGATTTTTGGCAGGATTCTTGTCGGAGTTTGCTGAATTTTTCTCGGGGTTCTTGTCGGAGTTTGCTGAATTTTTCTCGGGGTTCTTGTCGGAGTTTGCTGAATTTTTCTCGGGATTTTTGGCGGGATTTTTGCCGGAATTCTTGGCGGGATTTTTGCCCGAATTCCCGGGATTTTCCACATTTTTCTCCCCAGCTGTCCCTCCTCCTCCGTTGTGGCCGTCGCCTGTTGCTCCTCCTGCTCCTCCTCCCGCTCCCGTCCCGATGTTTTCGGTGTTTTCCGGCGCCTGGCTCAGTCCGTCCCGCTCCTTCTCCTGCTGCTGTTTCCTCTTCTCTTTGCGTTTCAGGTTCCTGCGGGCGCTCTTGGACAAAGCTGGGGAGGGGTCGCAGCCCTCGGGCCGCCCGGGGGTCCCTCGGCCGGGCGGGGAGGGGGCGGGCTCGGGGTTCAAGCCCGGGGGGAGCTCGGGTTTGCTCCGGAAGAATTTCACGTATTTGTTCTCGTAGCTGCGGGGAGGCAAAAAAAAAAAAAAAGTTGAGCTCCTTGAGCAGCGAGATCTCCCTGATGGCCGTGCTGGGGACACCCTCGGTCTCCCTGCGGTGACAGCGCCGTGGGCCGCCCCCTCCCCACCCCCCGGGGCCCCCCGGGACCCCCGGGACCCCCACTCACACGGGCACCTCCTCCTGGGGCACGTAGCCCTCCTTGACCCGGCGCTGCTTCCGCCAGGTCCCGTCCGGCCGCTGCGTGGAGGGGATGTACCGGCCTGGGGACACGGACAGACATGGGGACAGGGACGGACAGGGGGACATGGGAGAGACAGGGGGACAGGGACAGACAGGGGGACACGGACAGACAGGGGGACACGGACAGACATGGGGACACGGACAGACATGGGGACACGGACGGACATGGGGACATGGGAGAGACAGGGGGACAGGGACAGAGCGCTCACCGGTCTCGTCCGTCACATAGGGCGTCGCCATCTTTGCGCGCGCGCCGCGGGGCCGCCCCGGAAGTGACGCAAAGGCGGCGGCGCGCGCGGCGGCCCCGGGGGCGGGGCTGAAACGGGGCGTGGCCACATGGTGCATATGGAAATTAGGGGGCGGGGCTAAGCGCGGAAGCGAGCTTGATTTATCTGGCAATTCGAGGGCGTGGTCAATTCTCTATATGCAAATCAGTGGGCGTGGTCAGATATGGAAAATATATTGTAATTAAGGGGCGTGGTCGAGTATTTAAATAAAATGTGGCCAATAGTCGTTGAGGGGGCGTGGCCAGTGGCGGGTATGGAAATTAGAGGGCGGGGCAAACAGCGGAAATGGGCTTAAATTGTATGGTAATTAGGGGTGTGGTGTTTTAGTATGCAAATCAGTGGGCGTGTCCACGGGCTATATTAAATAATATGTAAATTAAGGGGCGTGGTCATTTCTTGTAATGTTATGTGGGTGATAGCTGAGGGGGCGTGGCCATTGATGGATATGTAAATTAGAGGGCGTGGCCAAAACGAGGCAATGACTTTTAATTAGTATGCAAACTAGAGGGCGTGGTCACTTGATGACGTGCAAACTAGTGGGCGTGGTCAAATGGCAGAGATGGTATTTAATTAATATGGAAATTAAGGGGTGTGGCCACTGCTGTGGAAATTGAGGGAGTGGCCAAAATGAACTTTGATTAATATGGAAATGAGGGGGCGTGGTCATTGGTTGATGTGATGTGTGGGGGCGTGGCCACATAAAGGGGCGTGGCCATGAACAAACCAAAACATTGCAGGATTTGGTTGAAGAGATCTTTAATTAATATGTAAATCAGGGGGCGTGGCCGCTGATTTGGGGCGGGGTCTCTGGACAGAGGGGCCCTGGGTGGGGGAGGGGGCTCGGGACCCCCCGGGACCCCCAAAATCCACCCAAAACCCCCCAGATCCCCCCAAATCCACCCAAAACCCCCCAAAATCCCCCAAAATCCACCCAAAACCCCCCAAAATCCCCCAAAATCCACCCAAAACCACCAGATCCCCCCAAATCCACCCAAAATTCCTCCAGGACCCAGACCCCCCCAGGACCCCCCAAACCACGCGGAGCCGGAGCCGCGGGCACATCGCAGCTTTAATCCCGGTGCCACCAAGGCCACCGCGGCGTCCCCAAGCCCCCCCGCGGGGTCCGGGGGGGCTTTGGGGGGCAGGATTTGGGGCGGGGGTCCCTAGACGGAGCGGGCGCGGAGGAGGGGGCTGCTCTCGCCGCTCGGGACCCCCCCCAGGGCGCGCTGCAGCAGCCGCCGCACGGTGACACTTGGGGACAGCCACGGCCGGGGCGGGGACAGCGGCGGGGACAGCGCGGGGGACAGCGCCGAGTGCTTCACCCGTCTGGGGGGGACACGGGGGGGACACGGGGGGGACACGGGGTCACCTCCACCCCATGGGGAGTGTCCCCAATGTCCCCAACCCCACAGTGTCACCTCCACCCCACAGAGTGTCCCCAACCCCATGGTGTCACCTGCACCCCTTGATGTGTCCCTGATGTCCCCAACCACAGTGTCCCCCACCCCACAGCGTCACACACACCCCATAAGGAGTGTCCCTGATGTCCCCAATGTCCCCACGGTGTCCCCAGTGTCCCCAGTGTCCCCCTGTCCCCATTGTCCCCAATGTCCCTAATGTCCATGTCCCCCCTGTCTCCAGTGTCCCCAATGTCCCCGTGTCCCCACTATCCCCAGTGTCCCCAGTGTCCCCAGTGTCCCCGATTCCCCACTGCCCCTGATGTCTCCAATGTCCCCAATGTCCCTGGTGTCCCCAATGTCCCCAGAGTCCCCCCCGTCCCCGTGTCCCCGTGTTCCCAGTGTCCCCAGAGTCCCCGCTGTCCCAGTGTCCCCCCCGTCCCCCTGTCCCCTTGTCTCCGTGTCCCCCCTGTCCCAAATGTCCCCAATGTCCCCGTGTCCCCGTGTCCCCGTGTCCCCGTGTCCCCGTGTCCCCAATGTCCCCCTGTCCCCAGAGTCCCTCCTGTCCCCGTGTCCCCTCACCTGTAGGTGTACGCAGCCGTGCCCAGCGCGGCCGCCACCAGCACGAGTGCCACGAACAGCGTGGTGCGCCCGGTGCCCGGGGCGGCTCCTGGGGACAGCGACAGCCCAGTGCCACCAGGGGACACCGGGGACACCCCGGGACCTGCCCCTGTCACCCCCAGCAGGGCAGGGACAGCTCAGTGCCACCAGGGAACACCGGGGACATCCCCGGGACCTGCCCCTGTCACCTCCCCGGAGCAGGAACCACCCAGCCCCACCCAGGGGACACCCAGGGGACATCCCCAGCCCCTGTCCCCGTGTCACACCTCCCACGGCCTGGTGCCACCTCCCCGGAGCAGGGACAGCTCAATCCCACCCAGGGGACACCCGGGGGACCCTGCGGACCCTGTCCCCGTGCCGCACCTCCCACGGCCACGCGGGTGGAGGCCACGGCCAGCCCGTTGCCGTTGGCCAGGGACACGTTGAGGCAGAAGAGGCCGGAGCGGTTGAAGTCCTGGCGCAGCACGAGCTCGCAGCCGGGCAACGGCGACACCGCCGAGCACGACTCCGCCTCCGCCGTGCGACACTCGGCGTCCGCCACCACCGTGCACACCTCCTCGGGGACCCTGCGGGCGCGGCCATCAGCGCCGGGGACACCGCGGTTGTCGCCGCGGTTGTCGCCGCTGTCACCGCCACTCACCCGCCCTCGCAGGTCACCGTCAGCTCCACGCTGCTGCCGCCGCCCTCGGGCACCACCTGCACGATGGCCACGCTCTCGATGCCCTCTGCGGGGACCGCGGCGGGGTCAGCGGGGTGGGGCAGCCCCGGCTGGCCCCGCGGGACCCCCCGGGACCCCCCCCGGGACCCCCGGGACCCCCGACTCACGGACGATGTCCAGCTGGGTGGCGAAGGTGCCGTAGCGGAACAGGACGCAGCCGGGCGAGCCCTCGGCCGGGGCCTGGCGCTTGACCAGCGCCAGCGGCTGGGCTGTGGCGCCAGCTGTGCTGCCAGCTGTGCTGCCAGCTGTGCTGCCAGCTGTGGCTGCAGCTGTGGCAGCGGCCGGGGACGCAGCAGTGGCTCCCACGGTGGCTTCTGCGGCAGCATCCACCGTGACACCGAGCGTGGCTGCGGCGGTGGCATCGAGGGCAGCTCCAGCTGTGGCAAATCCAGCTGTGGCCGCATCTGTGGCCGATCCAGCGGTGGCCGATCCAGCGGTGGCCGCGGCTGTGGCATCACCCGCGCCTCCGTCTGTCGCCGCGTCTGCGGGGACACGCGGGAAACGCTGGGCGAGCCCCTGGGGACAGCGAGCCCTTGGGGACAGCCCCGACGTGTCCCCTGCCCGCCGCCACCCTCACCCCGTGCCAGCACCCACCTGCAGCCGCTGTCCCTTCCACGGGCACCGCGGGGACAGCGGTGGCCCCGGCCGCGGTGGCGACAGCGGGGGACCCGGAGGAGGCGACAGGCGCGGCGCTGGCAGCCGCAGCGGGGGCGGTGGCGGAGGGGACCGGGAGCTCGGTGACAGCGGCGACAGAGGGCCCGGTGCCAGCGGGATCGGTGGCGGAGGGGACCGGGAGCTCGGTGACAGCGGGGACAGAGGGCTCGGTGACAGCGGGGTCCGAGGGTTCCGCCGCCGAGCCCCCCGTGGGCTCCGCCGGCTCCCCGGAGGATGCGGGGGCTGCGGGGAGAGCGGGGCTGGGGTCACTGGGACAGGGCTGGGGTCACCGGGACCCCGAGACCGGGCTGGGGTCACCCGGGGCCCCCTCCATTCCGGTTTGGGGTCACCTCTAGCTTGGGACCCCCCCAACTGTGGTGTCAGGGGTGCTCCGTGTCCCTTTAGGTGACACTGGGGCATCTGGTGGCTCTGTGGGGTGGGGGGGACACTGGTGACACACACTATGGCATAGGGTGGCTCTGGGGGCTGAGGGGACACTGGGGACATTCAGTCTGGGGTGGGGGACACCCTCTATGGGGTGGGGTGACTCTGGAGGGTGAGGGGACGCTGGGGACACAAATTACGGGCTGAGGGGACACTGGTGACACACACCACGGCACGGGGTGGCTCTGTGGAGTCAGGGCACACTGGTGACACACACTGTGGGTTGGGGTGGCTCTGTGGGACGAGGGGACACTGGTGACACACACTATGGGGTGGGAAGACTTTGGGGCTGAGGGGACATTGGGTACACACACTATGGGGTGAGGGGACACTGATGACACCCACTACGGCACGGGGTGGCTCTGTGGCGTGAGGTCACACTGGTGACACACCTTGCAGGCTGGGGGCACACCGGGCTGTCCCCCACCCCGTGCGACACCACCCCCACGCCACCTCCCCCGCCCTCACCGGTGCTGGCCGCCGCCGCCGTGCTCTGTGCCCCGGGCGCGCTGGTGGCCGCGGTGGCCGCGGTGGCCGCGGTGGCCGCGGTGGTGGCCGGCGCCGTGCTGGGCCCGCAGGGGCTGAGCGGGATGGCGGCCTGCAGCACCAGGCGGGCCGAGAAGGTGCCGGTGTCGCGGTAGGTGTGGGTGACGGTGGCGCTGCGCGAGATGAGGGTCCCGCTCTGGTCGCCGAAGTCCCACGAGTAGGACACGTCGGCGTGGCGCAGGTAGCGGCTCGGGTCGTGCAGCCGCACCGCGAACGCCACCGCCCGGTTCCGCACGAAGCGGCCGCCGCCGGGCACCGCGTCCGGCAGCTGCGACACGTCCACGGTGAGCGGGACCTGGTCTGGGGACAGCGCGGGGACGCCGTGAGGGAGGGGACAGCGGGGACAGCGAGGGACAGCGGGGACACCGGGGGGACAGCGAGGGACAGCGAGGGACAGCGCGGGGACACCGGAGGGACAGCGAGGGACAGCGCGGGGACAGGAAGAGGGTTGAGTGTAGATGAAGTGCTGGCGCGGGGTGTCACCTGCAGCCAGTGTCACCTGCACCCGGTGTCACCTGCACTCTGTCACCTACAGTCAGTGTCACCTGCATTGTCACCTATAGCCAGTGTCACCTGTGCCTGGTGTCACCT